TTGCAATACTATTTTAAAAACAAAAGTAGAACATAATAAGAAACAACACAGAAATAGCAAAGTTTGGAATATGATAGACGGTCATAAAAAATATGTTTGGGGAAAGTTTTTAATAAGGTAGAAAAATACCCCTTGCAAACAGCACAAAAACCGGGGGCGGGGGTGTCTGACCCAAACCGCCCGTGTGATGCAGTATGAGGCCGGTCTCATAAATACACAGGCCCAGCACGGCCCAGAGCAGCGGAGGGCACAGTGCCCACGAGGAGCCAGCCGGGGCTCCGGACTGGCAACGATCAGTTCCGCCTCCACATTTCGTGCCTCCTGCATCTTTCAAGTTTTTACAATAAGCATCCATTACATTCACAAGCAAAAAGGAAAAAATTGTGAAGTGTTTTTAAGGAAGCTTGTTATTGAAAGAATTCCTAGAGCAAATCATTTTCTAAAACAAACAACACCTAACTCACACATTTTACTGAAAATTCTTCCGTGTTTCAGAACTCCAGGTTCTCACACACAGACAGTGGGGTCCTTGGAAGCGAGAGCCATGCCATCTGCCTTTGGGAACCCTTGTGACGCCCGGCAGGGGCTCTGCACCCGGGGCTCACATGAGGGTTAACTGTGTGGTTCAAAGAGGCCACGTCTGTGCCTCTCCCTTCAAAAGGGCTCAAAGTCTGAACGCTATCTTCACATGCAGCAGGTACTCAAACGTGCTGAGCCAGGCGAGGGCTTGGGAAACGAGGAGAGTACGTAAAAGGTATCGTGCTGGGATCACAGCTATGAAAAACAGACGCAGGCTGCAGACGGGGGCAGGAAGGATGGGTCATCGCAAGAAAACACAGAGCATCGGTGCGGAATTATGAGTCATTGTTTTATTTTGCTTAATTTCTCGAGCCGTAAATTTTTCAAAACTAATATAAGCATATTTTACAGCTCACGGAACATTTAGAACATATTAAAATAAGTATCTTTCCACTGTAATGTACCAAATTGAAATTCATGAATTCCAAAGCTGCATTTTCAGGAGAGGAAAGAGCTGGCACTCCACGCCCTTCAGATTAATCAGGTGGACTGTGCTGTTTTTCTCCTGATCAGAAAATAAAAAAATCGTATTTCTGTCATGTTACCTTGAATCAAGGATTCTTCCACATTCTAGAAGCTTAAACGAGCTGCTTATATTAAGTCTTACTCTGCCCCCTAGTGGCAAATAGGATTTATGCACTCAGAAGACAATCCTCCAAAACCGGAAATAAACACACACACCCCTCCCCCAATTTTTAATCTTTACTGATCATTTAACATGTACAAAACCTTATGCCAGGAGCTACAGAGAATATAAAAATGGGTCGGCACAGTAATCATATCAAGTAGCCTAAAATCTACAAGGTGTAGCAGATACGCTTCCATGGCTATGCAGGTGGAATGAGAGGCCACCTCACGGCAAAGGAAGGGAGAAAATTCCTCGGGAAAGCAAGAACAGGAGCACACAGTGAGTGCCTACTATGTGCCCTGCACCGCTAGGTAATTCACATCCAACATCACTTATTTTTCACAAAAACCCAGCAAGGCATGTGTGATTATCGCCACTTTACATACACTGGTTAAGGTTTAGGGAAGTTAAAGAACTTGCCCAAGACCACACAGCCCATCTGCTGATGGCAGAGGGACGATTCAAACTGGGGTTCTGTGACCCCAGCTCCCAAGCCCTTCCCTCCTTCCTGCTCCGATGGGGGGCAAGAAGGCACTCCAGCCGACTTTGACCAAAAGACGTGGGGAAAGGCACGCGGGGAAGAGACCGCGGAGTCTGGGCGGACACCCTCACACCCGCCGCTGCTAGCTCACTGCCCACTGCCCCGCCGTCTGCTCTCCAACCACGACTGGGCTGCAGCAAGCCAGGGCGCCCGCCCCCAGCCCTGTCCCCACTCCAGACTCGGCGTCCACGTGCCTCCCAGGCCCCCCACGTCATACCATAACACGAGGCCCTCCAAGACCACCACGCTGCCCACCCTCTCACACAGGGAAGGAAAGGAACACCACCCTGCATGCGGCTGCCAGCTGCCCACCAGGCTACACGTGAACCTTAGGGCCCCGCCCAGGCCTGGTCCCCAATCTGTCTTCCTATCCGGGCTCCTCCAGCCCTTGCCGCGCATTCTTCACACTGAAAAGTTGCTCAGAATCAGTTTGCCCCAAACCAATTTGCCGAATAACTCTGCCGCTGAGAACGTAAATGTCTTAAAGCTGAGGAACCCCGGCTGCCTGAGCCCACGGCTTGGCAGAGCCCCACTTTTCAAGACACTGTGGTGAGAAGAGGGTCCGGAGGCGCTGACCCAGCAGCCGCTACTGCAGCCGAGCTCTGCCCCGGTAGCCTCGCCATGACGGACGGACGGACAGTGCAGTGGGCGGGCTCCCTGGAGGCCGCCAGGCGGAGTAGCACACACCATCTCCTTGGGACCAGCAGGCACAGCAACTGCGTCTGTGCCCACCCCGCACAGGGCAGCCCCACAGCAGACAGCACGGGGCTAGGGCTCAGTGAATCCCCTGAGCAGGGTAACATTCCACGGCCTGAGTGCCTGAGCGGCCTTCCCAGGCTGGGCCAAGCGCACCCTCTTCTGGTCACAAGGTGTCACAGCTAGTCGGCTGCTCCCGGGTCCCCACTATGAGAGCCTCTCAGCACCCCCAGTGCTCAGAGCTCAGCATTCTCGTCTACTCCACAAATACTCTCCACACGACTGAAAAACACAACTCCCCAAATCCACAGTTTCACTCAGATGCTCTCTGAAAACTATCATGGGAGTGCCTCTGCTCAGAAAATCTAACCCCGCCAGGCAAAGAGTCCCAAGCAGGGCCCACAGAGCATCTCACTGACCCCAGGTGCAGGTTCGGGCCCCCAGGCCTGCCCTCACCACCAAGAGACACAACCCCATGGGCAGCAGGCACCCAGCAAGGCACACCTGCCACCCCTGTATCCCTCCCCCATCTCTGCCCACGGCAACCCAGCCTGTCCTTCAACGCCTCCCCGCAAGCCCGCCTGCTCCTGAAGCCCACGCTGTCCATGTCTGCCAGACTCCCCATCCCTCCGGAGCCTAGAGAGGGGCTGCCCACGCGCCTCAGGTGCCCACCTGTAACCACGCTGCCCTCCACAAGACTCCACCTCGTGCCCGGCATCAGACACGTGGCACCCGGGCATTTGTCCCACCTGAGAAGCCCCAGCCATAGGTCTCAAAAGCTTGCTCCATTGAGCAAGAAACAGGCTCTGAGAGGTTCGGTGCCTTGCCCAAGGGCACAAAGTTGTTTGGGGTGAAGCGGGACCCCGAGCCCAGATCACTCTAACTCCAGCCCGCGTCTGGGGCCTACCAGCCTCGGGCCCCACATGGCCCTCCAGAAGCCCTCCAGATGGGCTCCTGACCAAGGGGCAGGCCCCCACATGGCCCTCCAGGGGGCGGGCTCGGGAGGAGAGCTGGGAAGCCCCAGGGGGTTACGACGCACACTGGGTGCACCAGGCACTGGGGCGGAAAGAGCAGCAAAACCTGCGTGTAGATCGGACTGAAGACAGAACGCGACACCGCCGCCCGTCACTCTAGCAGTCAGAAAGAACGCAGGCGAGTCGCTTCAGGGCTCACACTGGCCACTTAGCAATGACACCCATCGATTTAACTCATTTCAAAACGTCACTGTATGTGGGCTTCCTTTCTTCATGTCAGAAAATGCCTCCCTAGGGAAAAACCTCAAAACAGAACTTGCAAACATAGTATGCTAGGCGGGTTGGTTCCAGAACCCCGAGGAAAACAGGAGGAGGAAGTGACATGCATTGAGCATCAATGGGGTACCTGGCTCTGTGCCAAGGGCTTTGTAGGTGACTATGCCCTTTACAGATGACATGCCAGACTCAGAGCGGGGGACAGCTCAGCCCAGTTGACCATCTACTCCGCCACGAAGCTGTAATCTGAGCCACGGTGCTCCAACTCCAAAGCCATTTTTTCCCAGGAAGCTTTTCTTCAGCTCACATTTGGTCCCCACTACATATCAGTGCTTTGCAGGTGCTGAGGACAGTGAGGAGGGACACGGAGTACAGCCCGAAGGGGCTGTAGACAGGTTACAGGCAGGTGTGACACTCCTGCTACACTAGACACCTGTGTATTTGGGGTTTACTAACCACAAGCCTGCATTACTTCAGTATAAGTTAAAATAAACGGCAGTGACGAAACAAGTTTGTGTAAACTGGAAGTCCCCAACAGGACGCCTGCAGTCCTCCCTGGCCTGGCCCCTGCCTACTTCCCCAGCCTCGGGCCCCTCACCCCCAGGGCCCCTCGAGGCCTCCCACGCTTAAAGCCAAGAATGCCTTTCCATTGCTCCCCGTCCCCGTCCCCGTCCCCGAGCGCACCTTCCCCTTTTCCTGGAAACCTGCACCAGGCCCTCCCAGGCTGCCTGCTGTCCCTCCCACGGGGTTCCTGGAGCACTTGTGTGTCCCACCCTCACGGCCCGGAGCCCAGGGTTGTGAGTGCTTCTCCACTACCACGCCATGCACGCCCGGAAGCCAGGAGCCAGGTCTGTCTACCTCTGCTTCCCCTGCATCCAGCACAGCATCTGGCACGAGCTGGCATCGCTCATCACTCCGTGGGGGTCACAGAGGATGTCCCGGTTCCTGCAGCTCGGCCCCAGGCCTGCTTTCTTTCCCTGACTGCCCTCGCTCAGCAACCTCAACCACCCTGGACCTCAGTGTCTGGACGTCCTAGGAGCCCCCACGAGGGATAAGGACAAGTATCCTCTGGTGGCCTGGGCAAGGCAGTGCCAGTGAGTCGCAAGGCAGAACGGACCAACGATCCAGGGTGGCCCACTGAGAACCCACTCCCAAATGCAACAATGCACCTTTGGGAAATTACAGAGATTCCCGAAAGAAACGATCAGCCCGGAACCACCCACCACGTCACTGACGTAAAGAATAAAACATCCCAGCAGTTTATCCCTAAGGGCATCTGAAGAGAGCCGTGTCACTCAAATCTTACCTTGAAGGTTTTATCCATAGAGGCTGAGAGGAGCATGTGACTCTTCGAAGGGACTGGACACCACTGAATGCAGTTGACGGGGCCCCTGTGACCTCGCAAGTAAAAGAGCACCTTCCTAGAAATCTCGGTTTCTTTATATTCAGTGTCCAAATATGGCCGAATAAACTCAGACACTCCGGGGGCCACACGGAGAGGGACCGCGGCTCGCCCTACAGGGGGACCCTGTGCCTCCGTGTCCTTACTCCCACCTGTTTCTGTGCTTAGTGCCTGCCCCTGTCTTAGCCTTTTTGGGGTATAGGGTACAACACAGTCCTCGCGCCTTTTCCTCTGAAGATAGCTGCCATTTTGACCTGGGGGTTCAGGTTTGGTTTGGGCACAGAAAGGTGGCTCAAGGGAGTCATAAGTTCCCCAGGAGAGTTTGACCTGTTTAAAGTGGGCGGCGGCCAGGGGCACATGGCCAGCTGGGGTGTGGCTGGTCCACAGGGAAGGGCGAGGAGGCTCACTTGAGTGGAAGGTGACTTCAGGCTCCGTCCTGGGCCACTGTAGTCTCTGGCTGGGGCAAGATCGTGGGTCACTTCTCCAGAGCCGAACCAGTGGGAGACGCTGGCCGGCTGGGTCTTCACAAGCAGCTTGCTTTGTGGGCAGTGTCCCTCCTTCCATCACGTCCAGGACTCCCGACGCGAAATCCTGCCCACGAGGTCTGACCACATCCGAAGTGTCTTTCATCTGGGTGGCTGCATTAAAACTTCCCACAGGTTCCACCTCAGCCTCTGAGTCTGAGTCATCATAAGCCACCAACGAAGCCATTGAAGACGCAGTTTCTTGCTATCCTTCTAGAGGAAACTACCTAGAACCAAACGAAGTCAGGTATCAGAAAATATGCGTGGAAGGATATTCACCACCACATGGAGTTAACACAAAATGTGCCACCTAGCAAATCTAAGACGGAAAGACCCATAAGACTAAACACATAAAATACGAGGGCTTTTCTATTCACCAGGCATAATTAGTTAGATGTCATTTTTAAAAATGAAGACTGTGGAATATCTGGGAATAAATTTAACATACGTACATACATACATACATAAATAAATGCATGAATGAATAAATAAATAAATAAATAGGCGAGCAAGACTATACATACATACATACATACATACATACATAAAGTAAGTAAGTAAATAAATAAATAAATGCATGAATAAATAAGTAAATAAATAGGCGAGCAAGACCTATATGAAGAAAACTAAAGCGTTATTGAAAGCTATAAAAGAACTGACTAAATGCAGACACAATGACTGCACGGGAAGACACAAGACTTTAAAGATGCCTTTCTGAAGGTCAGTTTAGGGAGTAGCTGTTACAAATTTAAATACATGTACTTTTTATTGCAACAACCCCACTTTAAAAACGTGTCCTACACAAACACTAGTGTGTTTGCAAATATATATGTATAAAGAGACCCTGTAGCATTGTTTATTAGCCATATACTCATCATCAGGAATGAGGTTAGGTCTGAAACTGAAATGGAAAGACACCCGGAACCCACCAACTAGAAAAAGCGTGCCACCCTCCCCCTCGCTCTCTCCCGTGTGCCAGTCCTTACCTTCTATTCGCTTTGCCTAGGACGCTCTTCCCCCAGATAACCCATCTCTACTATAAGCCAGTTGGACAGACAGACCCACGACACAAGATCGGGGTACCGGAGGCATCAGTCCACCAATTCTGAAGGTATGCTCCAAATCTGCTTGTTTCGCTCCAAAAACAGACTCGCACAGCAGTGAATTTCCCTTTTTTAAAAAAATTCTTCCTGAAATTCTCAACCATCCCACATGATAAATTGCTGCCAACTAGTTTCTAGAAAGAAGTAGTAAGTCTGGAGTTCAGTTCTGCGCTGTGCAGTACCGTCAAGAGGAAAACAAGGGTGCCAGACGCGTCCCAGCCAGCAGAGGGCGGGGTGCAGCAGCTCTGAAAGCTTAGGTGAGGACCAACTGCTGAGAAGGCCCAGCTTCTCCTCCCGCATGTGGGATCAGACCAGCGCCAGAAGATCCCCTCGGGGTCACCTGTTAAGCCACTCCAGAGAGCCTGTCTACCACCCACCTCTTCCCCTAGGCAGTGGGTATCATCTCCCTTGGAATCAAGCACCCCATGCCCGCCTTTTCCCCAACGGGCACCATACACTTGAAGAGCTCCACTGTCGAACAAGCCAGGTCATCCGCCTCCTCCAAAAATTCCACTCCCACCTGCAGCCTAATCCAAACAAAAGCCGTCATCTAAATAATACTAATATAATGTAATGGACTAACTATAAACTAATGGAACTGAGGACTGTGAATGATTTGGCATTTCTGCTCTCTACTCAGCCTGGTCCTGAGGCGCACCCTGATCAGACATCTCACCTGTCTCAACTCTGGTGCACAGCATCCCATTCCTTCCTATCAAAGGTTCCCACCACCAGAGTGCCTGTGCTCTACCATTAGGATGGATTCCCACCCACCCAGTGGTCCACAGTGGTCAATTCCCAGGAGAAGCCAATGGCCAAAATTAAAGACCAGGTCTAGGGCAAAAGATCAGAGAAGTGGGGTTGGGGCCCATCGGCCCCATTTCCTAACAAGGCGAGGCGGCAAGAACTAAACGAACAAAGGAGGGTGGACCGATACTATTTGTTTCATGTAAATTGCATTTACTCATTCAACAAACATAAATGGAGAATGGGCTACTCCGCAAGCCCCACACTAGGCACAGGAACACTACAGCCAGCAACAGTAAACCATGTCCCTCACATGCCTGTGGGGACAGATCATAATCAAGTGAAACAGGGGATGTCAGGTGGTAAGAAATCCCAGTGAGAAAAGTAACAGAGAGGACGGCAGGGTGGTGGTGGGCTTGGGGTTGCAATTTCACATAGGGAGGCCGAGCAGGCCTAAGACAGAAAGTGACATCTGAGTAATGCTCAGGGGAGGTGAGGGAGCAGAGGTGGTGAGAAGCACTGAAGCCTGAACCAGTAAATCTAATCATAGAGGATGAGAGAGGAGGCAAGGATGACTCAAGAAAAACAGGCAAAAACCGGAAGATTGGGAGCCATTGGGGCCAATATAAATTTTAGGGGGGAAAGTGCTACCTTTTATGTTTCTAAGGTAAAAAGGGCAAAAAAAGGGAAGTTTTTCACGGAAAGAGGGGGCTGATTAAGTTAAGAGGAAGAGGTACAGCTAGAAGGTAAGGTCATAGGAGAAATGAGGCTACAGAAGGGGGGAGTGGCGATGAGTCACTAGCGTGTCAGCTCCACCACGGCAGGACTTTTTGTGTTTTGTTCACTGTTTGATCCCCAGCATCTGGTGCGAGGGGGGCACTAAGGCAGTAGAAGAAAATAGGATATTCTCATTCAACAAACATGTCCTAATTACTCACTCTGTGCCAAGTTTTACATTGGGTCTGGTGCGGGCAGAGATTAAACACAAAACACGGGTCCTACGCCGGGGGCCACAGACTAAGGAAGGCAACAAACAAGGTACGACCAGAGATGGGGTTTGAAGGATGAACAGGAGTTAGCCAGAGCTGTCAAGAGCGAGAGGTTAGGATGGTCCAGGGCACGGCGCGTTCGGAAGGAACCGGAGACCAAGGACAGGCGAGCGGCGGTGAAAGGCCCGCGCTGAGGGGCGCGGAAGGCTCGGGCCGCTGCGGATGCCAGCCCACTCCCGCCCCAGGCCCTCCGCTCACCGCACGCACCGGAAGCGCTCCGTCCTGCCCGAGCAAGTCCGACGTGCACTCCGCCTCCCAGTCGCGTTCCGCCGGCGCTGGGGCCGCCAACCAATCAGCAGTGGCCTCCGTCCCGTCCCGTGCGCACAGCCAATGAGGCCGCACCCGAGCCGGAAGTTGCTCCAGCCGGACGGCGTTTCCACAGACGCCCGGGAGGCCAGCCGGCAGAGCTGACAGGCCCACATGGGCGGGTGAGTGAGGGGATGGGGGACGGAGAGGGGCGGTGCCCGGTGACCGGACCCTCCCGGTGCCACCTTCGCTCCGGGATTCCCAGTATCCTTCTCAGAGCCCGGCTCACTGCCTGCCGGGTTCTGACGCCGAGAGGGAGGCGGAGGCTGCACCCGGCTCCTCGCACTCATCCTCCGCGCGCGGCCGACCCCACCTATCGCCCCCTCCCGCCGGCGCCGGCCTTTCATCGTCTCCCACCTCTTCCCTTTCCTCGAGTGTCTGCCTAGGAGCTTTGCCTATAGCACGCACTTAGTTTCCTCTGCGGTAAAGTTAGGCTCCTTTATTCCCATCTCACAGATGAGGAAACCGAGGATGAAGCAGAGAGGTAATCTGATTTGCTCAAGGTCTTGAAATAAGAAAATGCCCAAGCTGGAATTGAAATCCAGGTCTGCCTGACCCCAGAATTCCTGATCTGTCCACTGCGCCGCGCCCCCTCGGTACACAATAGCCGCAGAAATTTACAGCCCGCCTTTCCGCTCCCACGGCTGTACTGGCGCTGTTGCTCATACTGATGCCTAGGGTGTGGAACAGGAAGAGGTCGGGGAGGTCATATGGAGGCCAACCTGGGATATGGAGTGGCTGATGCAATGACCAGCTAATAGTTCGATCCACAATACAGTTTCATTGGTCTCCACTGGCCCCCCTCATCCAACCCTCCCCTGATTGGACCGTCTCATTAGGGATGTTGGGAAAAGGCTTAAGTGTTTGTGAGAAACTGGGCGATTTCTAAGAAACCCCTACTGCAAATAGCTGAAGGGTAGCGTAAACAGAAAGAAAAGAGAAGAACCTTTATTTAAAAGGAAACTGAAAGAAAAAGGGAAAAGACTATAAAAGGAGATCCTTGCTGCACAGGGCAGTCTCAGCTACTCCAGTGGCCATCTCTGAAGGGTCTCCCACAGCCCAGGTATGTATTGCCAATCTTTTGTTAGGCTTGGAGCTTATTAGGATTTTTACCAGCCTCTTACCTTGGTTTAGAGAATGAGGAGTTGTCTCTCTTAGAATTAAGGTCTTGTACCTTTCATTTCATGCCACTAACCCAAAGTTCAGGTGATTTAATGCTTCCGTAGGAATTAGAGATACTGGGTGAGCAGTTGCCTGACTGGATTCATAGGTTGACTTTCAGCACCTTCATGTTGGCTGTCATATTTTTCACGGACAAAACTTCCTTAAAGAGTCAGCATCCAAACATTAGCATGCTAATTGTGATGCTCAACAGTATCTTAATTATGGCTGGCTCATATCAATTAATATCTTTTTTGCCTTTTAAGGTAATGGTCATTTTATTACTCGGAGGGGAAAATAACCTTTCCTCTCAGCGTTTACAAAAGAAAACGTGAACATAATCTGGTCCAAGGTTGGAAATATTCAAGAACTCCTTACTCTAAAGAAGTCTTCGTCTTGTCCTCTGAGAACTTGACAGTCCAAGGCCATTGTCACCCACACTCTGGGGCCAGGATGTGAAGGATGGTATTGCATCTCCTGGTGGTATTCCAGGCACCCAGAAACTCCTGGGTCACCTTCCCAGCTGTTCCCAGCTGCTCCAAAATTGGCTATCTTAATGCCATCCTTCCCCTGAATTGCAGAATCTGGTATATCCTGATCTTATCTGCGAAGTGATTTTAGTACAGCCAAGGTCATTGTCACATTCTGTTGTACAATTCTTTAATTCTTCTTTCATCCCAAAACCCGATTTCATGTGCCTCTTTTGTTCCCCCAGAACAATGAAACCTTTCAAAATGAGCATAAGGTTCAAGTTCTTTAAAAAGAGGAAATGAGAGTTAATTTTTAATAGCCTGTAGCTTTCTCTTTAAGGTGTGCTGTGATCTGCTGGGGAGTATGCCATTTGGGTCTTCACGTTCCCAGTATTTTTTTTCCAGAGGAGATGATAGATGAATTCACAGATTATAGCTGCATTTCTTTTAGATTATAGTATTTGTTAAATAGATACAGCAGCTTTCCTTGACAGAGATTCAAGGGAATCCATTTTCAGTTTATGCCGTCGACACTTAAGACCATGGTCCTTAGCCTTTTGGCATGTCAGACTCCTTTGAAAAAGTTATGAAACCTGGATACTCTGCTTAGAACCAGGGACATGTCAATTGCTTTCAAACTAGGGCTATCATTCCGGAGGTTCTGAACTCTGGGTTAAAAAACCTCTGAAGTTACACTTAATTCTAAAAGTTAACAAATAAAGGAGGATGTTGCCTAGATAGGAGAAAAGTAGATAAATGGATGAGTTCATGAAGTAAGAGAAGTGATAGTTCTGTTCTCCTTGTCTCTGATCATTGCTGGCGTACTCACTCAAGTTGCATCATGCATGCGCGTGCACGTGCGCACACACACACACACACAATTTATAGCATGGGTGATTCTCACTCAGCGAACGTCTGCATGTGATCACAAAGAGACCTCATCTGTTCCCTCAGTTAGAATTGGTTCCCATGTGCCTCTTCAATGGGATTTTGATATTTAAAAATACATGTTTTTCCCCACAACATGGACCCCAAATGCAGGCCCAGTTTGTCTGGTCGATCATCTATAGTTATCTGCTCCCTCGCAGGGGGAGATTGGCTGTCCAGGCGTCACCCAGTCATTCTACCTGGCATTTTCCCTAGGAATTTTTAAGGGTAATATTGATCTGTACTTGATTTCGGCCTTACTCACAGACTTCAGAACCTTACTGATAATGTTGGTGAGATGCTATAGGAACTTCACCCTTGTTTATATCAATTACCCTATGGTAAAATTGGCTTTGTCATGCGTCGTTTCGCAGAACCTACCTATGACGTTAAGTGAGAACTTATTAAACTGTAACATCTAGCTTTGAAAGTTGGGAAATTCAGGATCATGTGTAAAGTATCCGGACATGATACTTGATCATTTGTGGCCAGAATTTTCATAACTTTAAGCGTCATTTGATATGGGCCCGAGTGTTCTTCCTCTCCAGTGCTAGTCAGAACGTTCTTCCACATACTTTTTTTTTTTTTTGACCAGCTTCCCTAAGCTGAACTTATCATCTAAGTGATTTCACCAAACTTCTCTTTCTGGGAATCGAGGTGGTTCCCAGCAAGGAAGGGAGAGAAACTGGCAGCTGTACTGTCCTAGTTTCAGTATTATGGTTTCTTTGCCTTGTGTAAAGAATGGTTTTTTTGGCATTGTTTTCTTGGTGGTTTTTTGTGTGTGTGTGGTTTTTTTTGTTTTTTGGTTTTTGTTTTGTTTTTTTGCGCGTGCACGTGCGCATGGGATTTTGATATTTAAAAATACATGTTTTTCCCCTTTTTTGTTTTTTGGTTTTTTTGTTTTTTGTTTTTTGTTTTTTGTTTTTTTTTTGAAATTTACATGCTTTTTAAACAAATATTTAAAGTGGATAAATAAAAATAAATTAGCTCTCAATTTGCATGTTTGGTTCATGGAAGTACTAGAAAAAAATTTTAAACAGAAAGAAACAAAATAGTCATTCATTAAACTTCTAACTTGGGGCTGATGCCTCGCTAGACTGTTAACTTACCTGCCTTATTGCACTTAATCCATTCACCAGTCCTGCAAGTTAGTGTTGTTATGGTTATTCCCACTTTACTGTTGAGAGGCTGAGGCTTATTACAGTTAAGCAACCCAGAGGATAATGATTGAGAGTGTAGGCTCTACGGTCAAACTGCTCGAGTTTACATCCCATCTCTACCACTCGCTGTGTTATCTTGGGCAAGTTTTTAAACCTGTCTGTGTCTCGATTTACTCATCTGTGAAATGGAGCTAACAAATCTATCTCACAGGATTTCGGTAAGGCTTAAGTGAATTGATACGTATAAGATGCTTTGAGCAATTCCAGGTACGGAATTGACGCTACGACATTGTCACTGTCGTCTCATTCGAGGTGTGGCAGCCAGTTCTAGGTGGAACTGGACTTCAGCCAGCTCTAGAATCATCACCAATACTCGTAATGGGTCTATTTCTTGCTTTACAGTTTACAAAATGCTACCATGTCGCTCTTTCTCATTTCTCATAACAGCCCTTGAGGTAGGTTCCTGATGGCATCTCTTTACAGATGGGGAAGCTGACACTCAGAAAGGGGAAGTGACTGACCCAAGAGGGGACCAGTTGTGGCCAGACTTTGCCCCGAGGCAGCATCAGGTGGCCTGCCCTGTGCCCCCTCTTCAAGGTTAATAGCAAATATTGACTAATAGAAGGTACAGGTAGGTACCTGTCAAAGGGTTGCAGTTAAATAAGGAAGCATGGCCTTTGAGCCACGCTTCTCTTGCTCAGTCCCACTTCTACATAGTACGTGAAGTGTACCATTGCTTCTAATAAAGCTACTCTTCTGCTGTAATGAGAAAGTAAGTAAGTAAATAAACAGATAAATAAGGGAGTCTGTTCCATGGACAGGCTGTATATAGTTCCTACCTCTTTTGCAACCCAGATGGGTAAGGCCCCGCCTACACCCCAGACCTTGCTTGTCTGGGGACAGAGCAGCTGGCCAGCCGAGGAAGCCCTTTGTTAAGCGCTCTGTTGGTTATAGCAGCAAACAACTAGAAATTCATCCCCAACGCAGTGAAAGAGTAAATAGCAATTTGCCAATTGTGTTTAGTCGTGGTGAACCTAAGAGTTATTAACGCACCTCCTATGCCCCAGGCCCCGGACGAGGCACAGGGGCACATGAGCAGACGCGCACTTGGCCTTGGTTTGCAGGGGCCTCCTTTGCAGTCCTTAAGCCTGTAAATCCGAGCAGTTCTTTAGTCCTCATCTTTGACTTGTGTCATTCCTCTTTTCCCCTTTTTTATGGCCCCAAATTTCTGCTTTTATTTTTATTAATGTTGCTCGATCCATGTTTTTTATTATAACTCACCTCCAACCTTTTGGGAAAAAAGGACTAGATGCAGGGAAGAAAAATTGGCTGCAGTGGTTTGTTAACCTCTCTCTCCCTCTCTCTTCTCTCCCACAGTTGGTCTGAACCACTGAGCACCTCTTCCAACACCCAGCCGGAAGCCTAGGTCCTGGAAGATGGCGGACGTGCCCAAGCTCGAGCAGGGCTGTGCGTCCTCGCTGGAGCTGTTCAACAGCATAGCCGCTCAGGGGGAGCGCGTGAGAGCCCTCAAGGCCGGGAAGGCGTTGAAGGTGTGTGGTCGCACTGGGGTCGCCACGTGCGCGTCCCTGCACCCTGCCGCGTCTGTCGGGTAGTGTCACCCCGAAGCGGACTGCCCTAGTAACTGACACATCTAGGCCGTAATCTTACGTTTGTTTTCTCCCTTGTCCACGTTACTGATGTTTGGGGTCGAAAGAAAAACCACGGAAATGCCACCGCCGTCCACACCACCCCTCCCTGTGTCCTGCTCCCAGAAACAGCTGTTTTCAGTTCTTTTAGCTGACTCTTGATATCTACCCCTAGATCTCTAAAAATTACTCTTACTATATTGTTCCTTGTTGATTCTCAAATTCGAGGCTTTTCCTGTGGAAGGTGAGGCACTTTCATAAACACTTCCCGCCCCTCCAGTCTCCTGATACCTGTCACCTTTGTCCTGTCCATATGAGTGTTGAAGTTATTGTGACCATGTGAACACTACTGACACTTGACCCATTGAGTATAGTATGAGTGCTTTCTTTTCCTGCCCAATTTTCGTTTTTCTGGAGTCCGTATTTATCTTAATTTCTTTTTGTTTGGCCTTTTTATGTACCAATGACAATGGCTCTCCAAGCTTTCCCCCAGGAGGGGCTCACATCACCCAGTCTGTGCGTTTGTCTGGACGAGGTCTCGCCTGGGACCTTCCACCTGCTTCGCTCTGGACCGGTGCCCCACCTCCCACGCCGCCTGTCCCAGGACCTTCTCTGCCCCCCTGCCCGGGCCCCGCCCGCCTCTGCGTCCCCGTCTCCCGAGCCCGTGTCCTGCTCCTCCGTGTACTCCTTTAGCAGACCACACCCTTCAGTGGTTTCTGAAAAAATCATTGCCAAGGAGGTAATTTGGGAGGATTTTGCGAGGTCTGAAGGTTATCTTTATTTTCCCTGATATTTGGCAACTAGGCTAGATATAGAATCCTGAAGCGGAGGTGACCTGCCCCCAGTGTTCTGCAGCCCTCGCTCCCAGGCTCGCTGTGACAAGCCGGATGCCCTGCCTTTGTGTTCCCCTCTGGACGTCCGCTGGGTCTTCTCTCTGTTCCAGTGTTTTGAAATTTCTTGGGATGAGTGCTCAGTGCTCCTTTCAAACTAGAAATCCACGACCTTTAATTCTCAGAAATTATATTATTTCTTTCATCTCTTCTGTGTTCCCTGTTTACAGATTTTTTAAATTGACAGACTGGTCCTCTGATCTTATTGTTTCATTTTTTCGTTATTTATTTTTCTTCTGGTTCTTTCAGGTATATTTCCTTGACTTCTACCTCTGCTATGGTTATCAGTTATCCTATCATTTTTAATTTCCGAGAGTTCATTTGATCTCTGACTTCCTTTCTTCATATCACCCGGTTCTTATTTTGTAGGTACAGCATCCTTTTATCTCTGAGAGCTTGATCGTTTTCCTGATGTTCTTTGCCCCTTTTATAAACTGGATTTCGTCCAAGTTAACCTTTTTCCTTCTGCCTTTCGTAGTAGAGGCAATCTTCAGGTGTTCGGTGGCACTTGGCTGCCCACTCATGTTTTAGAGGGCAGCACAGAAAGCTAGTTGGGAGCTCTGCGCGTGTGGGAGGAGCTTATCAGTGTTGGTTTCCCTTCCCTGGACAATGGCCAGACTGCACCATTTTGCTGGGAAATCTGCAGTGTCGGGGTCTTTAGATCTCTTCCTCAAGGTTAGTAAAGTCCCAGAGGGGGCTTCTCCAGTGTGGTGCCCGGAGGAGGGTACAGGTCTGGCTGCCAGCGTCGTGCGGTTGAGTGGGGCAGACTTGCTGGGCTGTGTGACCCTTTGTGTTCTCAGTGCACTATCCCCCTGTGCAGAGTGCCCCCGGGCTGGACACTTTCAACTCTTCTCTAGAGACACTAAACCTCTGGATGGGGGATGGGGTGGCACTCACTCAGCTGGGCGGGGAGCCTGGAGTAGAGAGCCGAATAACTGCTCTTTAAACTTTCAACCAGTGTTCTGCTTTTATAACCCACTTTCCCCCTCACTTCTCTAAGTACCTGGAGCTGCTAATGCCCAAACCTACTGGGGATTCCACAGCAGCGTAGGTCCAGTCGCTGCCCAGTACTTCCACGACACCCGAGCATTTGTTCCCACGTGCTCAGCCTGTTACCAGTCACCCCTCAGCTTTCCAGCTCCTGAAATCTCGTTGGTGGCGTCCTCTTCCTGTCTCCTTTGTCCTCGCGGGATTCCCCCTTATTCGAAGGTCCCTTTGCCGTCGTTGCAGTGGGTCTCAGAAGTGTAATCCACGCAGTCTGCGTCATCAGCTGGCACAAAAGCACTCCCTTTCGTTCTGGGATGCCTGCGCCCCGGGGTCGCCTGGCAGCTCCATCTCCGTGACCTCCTCAGCCATCACCTCCAACCCCTGTTGCCTTCTTTTCAAAAATCTCTTCCTAGGTCCTCACACTCACCCTAGTAGTTTATTTCAACTCTTTGGACCCCAAATAAACCATTACATTAAAAAAAAAAAAAAGAGTCCTGAAAGAAAGCCATGCCAAAAAGGAGAGTTGATTATTCACAGGAAGAGGTTTACACACCGGCTAGGGCCTGGTGGGTGAGATGTTGTTTTAAAAGAACCTAAAACTCTAAAATAAGGACCCAGGTGTTGATTATTTACTCTATAAACCCATTCTGGGAATTCGACAATGATAGTTTTGTCCATTTAACATTAAATTTGAATAACATTTAGTAAATATTTTTATTAGTAATTCTTAGTGACTCAGGTCATGTTCATTATTTTAGCAAACAAGCAATACTTAACAGGATTTAGAGTAACTTCCAAGCGTGGTCTCTGACGAATGCTTCGTCAGCTGGCACTCGACAAGAGAGATCAGAGGTTGGACGATGAGACCAGAGTGAAACGATGACATTCAGAGTTATCTGACCCTGGAATGTATTATAATAGAAGCACCTGGTGTTTTCGAAATTCACTTTAAACGAGATAGTTGAGCCACTTTGAAACACCAGTCAGTGAGGGCGCCTTGGGCTTTCACCCGGCATCTCCGCGTCCTCTCTAGGCCGTGGTCCTCCGCGTTCTCCTCTGCTCCGTGTGCTGCGGGATTGAGACCCACTGCTACAAGAAACAATTGCCCACGGATGCAGGGAGTCTCCTGGGGAACCGGTCAGAATCTGGGCACTCTGACAGGAAACAGTGGCTGACGGTGTGTACAGCTCGAGCAGGACTCAAGAAGTGACTGGGTCATGGGGTTAAGAGAGAAAGCAGAGCCTTCTCCTTTTCGTTTAAGTAAACTTTTTAAATTGAAATATTCATTCAGAAAATGAATATATTTTATTCATATTCATAATACGGAGCATCAGCAGACAGCTCCCTGAATTGTCACAGAAAGATCCACACCTGTGTAACCAGCACCCAAACGGAGGAAGAGCATAGCAGCACCTGGAAGCCACCCTCAGGCCCCTTCAGTCACTCCCTCTACCCTCCCAAGGGAGGCCTCCAGCCTGACCTCTTCATATAATATATAATCATGGATTTTAGTCTTTTATGTCTGGCTTTTCTCAGAGCATCAGGTTTTCAATTCTGTTTTTAGTGTTCTGGTCCACGTTGCACTGAGTACACAGACTAGACAGCGTGAGCCTGCTTGTCTACTTCAAGACTCCAGACCGTCTTCGAGCAGGGCCACTGGTTAAATGTTCACTTGTGCAGAGCCACCTCACTGCAGGCACAGTTAGATGATTTTGAGCAGGAAGCATCATCGCAGGCAGTGATCAAAGCGTCTTGACTGCGCTGTGCTTCAGAGCAGGGTAATTCTTCCCTCAGGTGATTGGATAGATCATGCTTGCTGAATGTTTGTTTTGTTGCAAGCACTGAGCCTAGGCGATGCAGAAGTGAGGTGAGTAAGACATCCCTACGTAGCTACGTAGCTGGATAGACATCCTGTCTTGTGTGAGGTGTATTCATGGGGTTACTGGTTACACAACTCTGACGTGTTTAAATGAATTCCAGATCGCTTCAGAGTTTGAAACACAAATCTGTGTCTGCAGAATCACCTTGCAAGAACAGTCCTATGTGGCCCAGGTACCATACCTGGTGGAGCGGTGTTGGCGTGGCATCTACCGGAAAGCCCAGTTTATAGCACGTTGTGTAAAAATTCTAAATGGACATGTTTGTATTTCGCTTGGCGAGCACACTGGACTGTGGATGTTCTTCGTTTGTGATCTGGTCCAGCCAGGCCAATTACCGGAGGGAGTAGAGCTTCAGAGCACAGCGTGACTAATCTGCTTAATTTGGCCTCTTTTAAATGCCAGGCTTCCGGGGTGCCTCATGTGGGCTCCCGGAAGAGGAGGTCTTTGATAGATTACAGGAGTTCCCGAGGATACGGTTTACATTAGTGTTTCTTATGCTTACTTTAAAACAATAAATATGCAAACACTTCGGGCAGTTTGGTAAGACTCCTAAATGCAGGAGTGCAGCTGTTTGCCCTGAATCCCTCCTCCATTTCTGACGTGAAAGCCCATAGTTTTTCCTTGCCTTTATCTGTTTTCATGATGTCTGTTTGAGTTGGTTACTCTCCTCGGTGGCGTGGTTGTCTGCGTTTATGTGAGTATTCATCTCAACCTGTGTGGAACGCAGCAGCAAGTTCAGTGCAGGCTCAGTGTAGTCGAGTAGGGAGCTTGTCACGCGTGGTCTCTGGCGCCAGTGCTGTTTGAGAACTCTCGCTTAGTCACTGTGTCATAAACAACAGTGTTTATTTTGTGTCACTGTATTTATCCCGTAGTGTTTGGTGGTAAGCCATAGCATTAGAACAACAGATAAAACTAAAATACATTCAGGCCCATGACTTCCGGTGTGCCCATGGGCAACCTCCTTCACCTCCCTGAGTCACAAGATTCTTCAGCTGGAAAAGGACAGGACGGTGATGCCTGCCTGGTAGGTTTGCGATTGAGAATAACCAACGTGTGTGAAAGTATTTACCATAAGGCCTGCCGCATAGCAGCAGTAACATTCAGCACATGGCAGCCATGTTAATATGTTCACCCTTCACCCTGTTTCCTGCGTTCAGGATGAAATCGATTCTGCAGTACAGATGCTGTTGTCATTAAAAATGAGCTACAAAGCTGCCGTGGGGGAGGATTACAAGGCCGACTGCCCTCCAGGGAACCCAGCACCGAGGGGCGATGGTGGTCCAGATGCCACAGAAGCCGGAGAGGACTTCGTGGACCCATGGACGGTACAGACGAGCAGTGCAAAAGGCATTGACTATGACAAGCTCATTGGTACGTCCTGGGGGAAGCCCAGACTTTTAGAAGTGAGTCCATGGAGTTGACTCCTTTGATATTTTTTGATATCAAAGTCATTGTAAATCCAGTCAAGCTTCAATGCCAAGAGGAAAATAGATCCTAAAATCTTTTGGTGGCACATTACATTTCTAAACGATGATTTTTAAGTAAAGTAGCAACATAAACCTTACTGCAAAATAATGACCGATAGTAGACGGCTTAGTCGAACTCTCCTCTTTTTTGTGCAGTTCCAAACTTGGGAAAGGTCTGTTCAAATGGGCATCTTTGCGGTCACTTAAACTGTCATACTTAGTGGTGACAAGTCAGTCGTAGACTACGTTTCTCCTCTAGTGAAACTGATTGTGGAGGTAAACAGCTGAGAGTCAGCTTAAGGAGGGTGACCGCTCACAGGGCGCACATCATTGCCAAGCCCTTCCTCAAGGAGCTTCCTGCTCGAGGAAGCCCTTACTCTCAGGTCATCGCTAATCACCAAAGAAGAAACGGAACTGAAATGTTCTTATCTGAGTCACAGCCATTTTCCATGACTTAAGTATAGACTGTCAGCGAGGGAAAACTCGCTTGAGGACAGGTGTTAATCCAGTTCCGCACTTAAAGGACATTAAAAAGTGTAGTTGTCGGTGTATATAAGTTATACCTTAAGCAGTAAGCACCTGTGTGAGTGTGAGTGTGTGTGCGAATGTGTGTGAGTGTGTGTGTGTGAAGGATGCTAGCTAGACTACCTCCTGGACGTTTCCCATCACAATCCAATCCCAGACAAAACAGGCTTTTACTCCATAATTTGTTTTTTGTTTTGTTGGTGCCTTGTTAATACAAAAGACACCGACTTTGCGTTCGGGGAAAAGACCTGAGCAGGTGACCCGAAGGGGGTCGGTGCATTAAGGTGGCACAGGGATCACTAGTTGTTCCCCCTTGTGTCGGTGACACTCAATCCCTAGACCTCCCACCACCTAAGACAGTCATCTCCTCTTTCTTCCAATTGTTTTCCAGTCCGGTTCGGAAGCAGCAAAATTGACAAGGAGCTGATAAACCGGATAGAGAGAGCCACGGGCCAGAGGCCTCACCGCTTTCTGCGCAGAGGGGTCTTCTTCTCACACAGGTCAGGGGCTCCCCGCCCAGGGCCACTCATCCCCCTCCTTCAACTCACGAAAATACTAGGGGGCTCTCCCCGGCGCTGGGGGGAAGCAGAGCCAGTTACCAGAAGTCAGCATCCACCTCTGCCCCGGCTGTTACTGGCTGTGGGATCACGCCCGTCCCTGCACCCTCCGGCCCTTGGTTTCTTCCTCTGTAAACTGCCCACTTCGTAAGGCAAAGGTTACGTTCATAGCAGATGAGACTCATGCCAGAGTACATGCTGTAAATTATAAAATAGCTCAGAAACAAAGGGGCCCCCACGTCCAAGTTCAGCGTTTCCCACGCGATAAGCAGAGGGCTCCCTGAGGTTACATACCCTCTTCCTGCTATTGTACTGGCTTGCTCACAAGTAATATCAAGAGAAACTGACAGAGTACATGGAGCAGAATAGCTCCGCCCTAGACCATAAACACCATGCAGATAACATCAGAAAACAGATTCCAAAAGGGTCTCTGCCCCTCCCACCCTCAGGTCACCTCGGGCTGGAGCTGGCCCACTGTGGAGGCTTTATGGTCCGAGGGATTTATGGTCCGAGGTGGGCTGGTTCTGTTCTGCTCCCACCCCACAGTTACGGGAGAGCACATGCGGGTCACAAGTCGGCGGTCTGCCCAAGCACTGCAGATTCTGCGTGCAGAGAATGCCAGGCCCTGCTCAGCCCTCTTTCTGGGCAGAGCATAATCGAAGCTTTTTTCCTTAATGAGATTTAATTCACATTTTTCAAGTATACAATTCAGTGGTTTTTAGTACATTCACAAGGTTGTACAAACCTCACTAAAATTTCAGAACATTTTCATCACCCCTAAAAGAACCCCTACTTCAGTGGTTTTTAGTATATTCACAAGGTTGTACAAACCTCACCACAAATTTCTGAACATTTTCATCACCCCAAAAAGAACCCCTATCCATTAGCAGTCTCCCCCCATTCCTCCCTCTCCTCCACCACTGCTGGCAACCACTGATCTGCTTTCTCTGTCTATGAATTTGCTTCTTCTGCACATTTTATATAAATAGAATCATACATGTTTGCCTGGCTTCTTTCCCTGCGCATGTTTTCAAGGTTCTCCGTGGGGGATTAGATGAGATACAGCACACACTGTCCAGCGGCAAACAATGAGGGAGACCGAGCTGGGCTCCCTCACACGCCGGAAGCCAATCCTCACAGGGCTGAGCTCAGACCAGGATGGGGGTGGAGGAAGGGGGGCTGGTTAAGTCCCAGTCCAGTCCCCGCCCCCCTGAGTGCCCCGCCCCCAGGCCCGCACAGGCTTCCTACAAAGACACTGAGAGCGGCTGGGGGGGGGAGGGGCAGCTGGGCTTTTTGTCATCTATAAGCTCACACAAGTTCAATATGGTTAGTTGTGAAAGCCGAAGACGGATTCCTTTTCCTCCAAGGTTAAGTTTTTATTACGGGGGTGGAATCAAAACTAAGAAACAGGATGCCCAGGTCCCTGTCAGCGCAGAGGTGAGCGCAGGTAACCCTGATTTGGGCAGAAGGGGAGGGTGCTTGAAGAGTCCCGTTGAGGGGATTCTCCTACCCAGACCTCCGGAAAGGTGGCTGTTTCTCTTTATTTTGGGACAGTTCGCCCAGAAACAAGGAGCAGTCACACCCCGCAGTGGTGGTTTCACACCCTGCCACATGTCACAGTCACTGGGGAAGCTTTTTAAAAATACAGATTTCCAGACATCACCCCAGACCCCGTGCATCAGAATCTCTGGTAAGGGCCCAGGCAGGTGCGGTGCAGAGACAGCGGCCAGGTCTGATGCACAGCCAGGAAGGTTCCTCTGTGCACTGTCTGTGGACCCCAGGCCTGGGGGAGGGCAGGTGATTCCAGAATGATTCCCAGATGTCTTCATCTGGTCCTGTCTGGTCAGGGAGCCCAAATCAGCTGTTCAGCTGGGGCCTGACCTCTAAACCCCCGGGGTGCATTTCATACTCCCCTCTCTAAGCCAGGACTGTGTGGAACCCTGCTGTTTCCTCCGCCTGGCTGCCCCGTCTCAGGGCTGGGTGATCCTGTACAAGGATTGTACAGTGTCGGCCTGGTGTCACCCCCAGGACAGTGTAAAGCAGATGGTGTATCAGTGTTGATTCCAAAAGTTTCAGTGGCTACCCAGCCATATCCACCTTTAAACACGTTACTCCAAGCCTCACGTCTTGAAAACGATCACAGGGAGAACCGTTTCAGGCAACGTGCCCTGTCATTTTATAACGTACGCACCAAGGATGACAACCAGTTATCATCCATGTCGTCCCAACATTTCCAAATGAGCATTAGTGCCTTGTTTCTTCCTTCAGAAAAATCACACTATTTCCTTTTCTCCTTTTTCCTTTAGGGATATGAACCAAGTTCTTGATGCCTACGAAAACAAGAAGCCATTTTACCTGTACACGGGCAGGGGCCCCTCTTCCGAAGCCATGCATTTGGGTCACCTCATCCCGTTTATTTTCACAAAGTAAGTATGGCATCGTACGACTTCTCTCACTGTTACTAGCGAGTCGGAAATGTTCGTTGTAAACCACGCCTAGAACTGACCAGACAGGACTAGCTCACATCTGCTGAACAACCAAAGTATCAGGGAATCGGCACCTTTGTGGCCTCTGTTCACTTGGTTTGTTCCTGGTGTCACTTTAGAGGAGCATGGGTGATGTGGAGAGGTCAGCCAGGCCTATTTCACATCTTCTTTTTCCCGCCCCTGTGACCGCCGGACAGTTAATTCTCCAAACCTTAGTTTCCACATCTGCAAGATGAGACTATACTACCTGCCAGGGGAAAGCATTGAAGGCTGCAGACGAATATGTAAAACAGCCAGCCTAGAGCTGACACGCAGGGTGCTCTGGGCTAATTCACGGTGGTAGCTCTCGTCAGTAATCAAGTTCACGGCCCGATAAGATCACGACATTTTGTAGACAAGGAAGTTTTGACACATTGTTAGTAGGAACTGTGTTTTCAGACACAAACCGGAGGTTTTCTGCAGGAAGAATGAGATGTCATCCTTCTCCCCTGTGTCGCTTAGGTGGCTGCAGGATGTGTTTAACGTGCCCTTGGTCATCCAAATGACGGATGACGAGAAGTACCTGTGGAAGGACCTGACCCTGGACCAGGCCTATGGCTACGCCGTGGAGAACGCCAAGGACATCATCGCCTGTGGCTTTGACATCAACAAGACCTTTATCTTCTCTGACCTCGAGTACATGGGGTAAGGAGAAAACACTTGTCTGCCTTTTAGATAAGCAGCCACGGACATCACGTCCTCTGACCACAGCTGAATCTGACGGGTCTGGTGAATGTTTTTCGTTATTGAGTGTCATGATCTGGTTTACTGGACTTGTTTACCAATTACGATCTCCATCCTCAGCTCATGACAGAGCAGTGCCTCTGCACTGCAGTGTCTCTCCAAGGACAGTCAGTTTGCCCAGACAGGCGTATCTTTCTCTTTCCTCACAGAGAAAAGACTCACTGATTACACAATTCCCTCCCAATCTGGGTTTTTTAAGCAGCTATTTCACAGGCCAAAATATTTCATTCCGAAAATTCTTGAATTAAAACTTCTGAGGTCTTGAACTTCATCCCAAATGAATACCGAGAATATGTTAGAAAAATATTAGATTTTTTAAAATTAGTTTCACGTATGCAGTACGTTAGTTAGACATTTATACGATTTATGAAACAATCCCCCCAGTTAGTCTGTCTCCCCTCCGGCTGTACACACAGCCATTACAATACTATTGACTATATTCCCTATGCGGTGCTCTATGTCCCTGAGACTTTTTTAACTACTAATTTGTACCTCTTCAACCCTTCACTTCTTTCTCCCAGCCTCCCAAGCCCCCTCCCTTCTGGCTGTCACCAGATTGTCCTCTGTATCTGTGTCTGTTTTCATTTCATTTGTTTCTTTCGTTCCTTATATTCTACATATAAGTGAAATCACGTGGTATTTGTCTTTCTCTAAGTCTGACTTATTTCACTCAGCATAACACCCTCTGGGTCCATCCATGTCATTGCAAATGGTAGGATTTCATTTTTATGGCTGAGTAATAGTCCATTGTATATATGAACCATAACTTCTTTATCCAACCGTCTGTTGATGGGCACTCAAGTTGCTTCCATTCAGATTTTTTTTTAATCATTTTTCTTGTGGGCATAGAGGCATCCTGGTGTTCTTGGAGAAACATGATCTTGGAAGGTAGACCTGGGTTCGAGTTCTGGCACCTCTGTTTAGTAGCCATGAGTCAACAGGTCTGTCCATAAAATAGGATTAGATGAGACCTTGGATGTCACCATCGTTATAATTTTCAGGGCACTTTATTTCTCTCTCTTCATTCCTTAAAAGGACCCGATTCAACTGCTTGAACCTACAGGCACATCATGGGTTCTGCTGCTCTTTTGAGGGCCAGGCAGCGCTGGTGGTGCCCAGTCACTGGCATCCGTTTGGGCAGCCCCTTCAAGCCCACCGCCAGCCAGCCCTCTCTGTAAAGCACAGATCTCTGCTCGTTCCCCCCTCACACCTTATTATCCACTATTATTATGAATATTATTACCCATCATCATCAGGATAAAGCTCTCACTTTGCACTTAACATTCCAGCCCTGTTACGATTTGGGCCCTGCTTCTCTCGCCACTTCCATCCAGACAGGACAATATGTAGTTCCACTTTCCACTCTTGTCCATGCTTTTCTGTGCCCGGAATGCCCTCTGCCCCGTGACCTCGCCCCTCCCAGCTCAGCGGATTCCCGCACAGAATCAAGCCCCGCTTTCCTGGGAGCGGCCCTCCCACAGCCAGGTTTAGATGCCTCTCTGGTTCCCAGCGCCCAGGCTCTACCTCAGCCACGTCCTGGGTGAGGGGGGTGGCCCTCTCCCAAGAGGTTAGTAAAGTCACAGCATGTCCTCTGTGGTAGGTTCTCCCCTAGGCTCTGAGAGCACAGCGTGGGCAAAACAAAGCCCCGCCTCACTGAACACGATGGTGGTGGGGCAGAAGCAAATGCCTCTAATAAATTAGGGCCGTGCCGATGACTGAGCGGGGGGCACACCGTAGGGGGAGTAGCCGTGCAGAGACTACCACGTGGACAGCCTGCTTTCAGCACACTGAGAGAACACAGGGTCCGTGGCACGGGTCCCAATCTGTCTCCATGGTAACTGACTTCCTATCCCCCATCCTTACTCGCTAAGAACGAACTTCCTTACAAACATGGAGTAAAGATGAAAACTCAGGCGACGTGTAAACCAGAGCTTTAGCATCTCTTTTGAGGAAGGCAGGTCAGGAGAGACTTTTAAAACTTAAATCCCATTTGCAAATGTCCTGTCACCTTTAAGAGTTTCTTCTAAATGAGTACTTTACTTTTTTATTTGCTTATTTGAAATGTGACTCAAACTCTACATCTTTGACTTAGCAAAGCTCCCTCCTGGTCTTTGGGAGCTGGAAATACAAGCCAGGCGCCATCTCTCTTTGGGAAGGGAAGTAGCCAGGGGAAGAAGCTGGCGGCAGGGCCTCGGCTTCCTGTTGCCCCGTCCCGTCCAGGTTTCTGGCGCTGCTTCTGGGCCCCGAGGGGCCTTCCTGCCAGGCGTCCTGGAGAGACAGGATGGGCAGACAGAGCTGGCGTTCCAGACCCCGCTCTGCCCCTGGTCGTTTGGTTCCTCACGTTCTCTGAGCCTCCGTTTTCCTGCAAAGTGGGGGTTTGGTTCTAGTGAGAGGCGGTTTAGTGGAGGGGCCCAGAGTCCCCGGCCGGGGCTCACGTCCTGACGCCACTTACCGTGTGTGACTTGGGCAGTGAGTTCGCTAACTTTTCTCCGCCTACCAGCCCAGCCCATTTGTTCAGCAGATGTTTATTGGGCATCTCCTACGGGCCAGGCTGCTGCTGGCATAGATGCCAACAAGACAGTTACCCAGCCGCTGTCCCGTTAGCTTCCAGCAGGGAGAGCCGGGCGGTTAGAGGTAATAGACCAGGTGATGAGTGCTGTGAGGACAGAGGGCGGGGTGCCTCGGTGCTCAGC